GCACACCACTAAACTTCTGATGAACTCCCTCATACCATGCACCAAACTTCTGATGAACTCCCTATACCATGCACACTACTAAACTTCTGATGAACTCCCTCATACCATGCACACCACTAAACTTCTGATGAACTCCCTTATACCATGCACACACTAAACCATGAACTCCCCTTATACCATGCACACCACTAAACCTCTGATGAACTCCCTCATACCATGCACACCACTAAACCTCTGATGAACTCCCTTATACCATGCACACCACTAAACCTCTGATGAACTCCCTTATACCATGCACACCACTAAACCTCTGATGAACTCCCTTATACCATGCACACCACTAAACCTCCGATGAACTCCCTGATGCACACTCTAAACCTCTGATGAACTCCCTCATACCATGCACACCACTAAACCTCTGATGAACTCCCCTATACCATGCACACCACTAAACCTCTGATGAACTCCCTTATAACATGCACACCACTAAACTTCTGATGAACTCCCTTATACCATGCACACCACTAAACCTCTGATGAACTCCCCTATACCATGCACACCTCTAAACCTCTGATGAACTCCCCTATACCATGCACACCTCTAAACCTCTTATGAACTCCCCTATACCATGCACACTACACGATGGACCACTACACAACCTCTAATAAATGTTTTTCTCTCATCAACTGTTGTATCTAATACATGCTATAGGGCCAAACATTGTAATTAGCATTTCTGACAAAAATGCCACAGAATCCTATATATATGCAAGATGGTCTGTGCCTGATTTGAAGAGGTCAGAGAAAATATGCAGATGTACTATCTGCCTCTTCCTTCTTGGAGCAGCTTCAAATGTCTCTGCAACTCTTATGAAGCATTTATTCCGTTGCAACAACAATTAACTTGCTAATGACTTCAATATGAGATAACTCTGCATTACCATAATGAATGAAAACATATTGGAGAATGTAATGACTAGAGAGACATTTACCTGGTAGCATTTACAGCACAAGAACAAGGGCATCAGTCTGGTGTTAGTGTCTAAAAACATTTTCATTTGATTACACTGATTAGCAAACAGATAAGTGTGTTGTTCCCAATGTAGGGAAACAAAATGTTCAATTCCTGGAAATAAAATTCATAATATGAGGGAAGTGTGATCTGCTTCAAGATATTTTCAAGATGATAAGTAACAATGTGTATGTAGTACAACTGACAACAAAAATCTCATGAAAACATATTCTTTAAGAATACATTCATCAAGTAAGACTTTTTCTGACTATTGTGGAGACTGATAACTGATCTCACTCAGTGTTTCCAAACTTCCAAACTCAGTTTCTGTCCATGGGTGTTATATTGGCTGTACACTATTGGAATGAGGGGTATTTTTTGTGTACACAATATGAAGCTGAATTACAAGCCACAGCCTATCTTTAGACTGGTAATGTTCCAGACCCCCATCACATGGCCCACACTACCTCCTGTACTCCCAGTAATGAGATTCTCAACCCACTATAGCCCATCTCACACAATCTGGCCAGTACACCTGGCTCAACACACTGCCTCTCATGTCTGCATCACAACCTCCCCGTTCCACAGCAACATTTTAGCAAGATCTGCACAAAATAAACACTAAACTCAGACCTTTCACATATATTCAGTCTTTCATAATTTTATTTCTTGATTAGGTTGAATTACTTAGCAATCACACCTATATTGATGAGATCTTCTGTCTTCATGATGAGAATGTCTTTGTGTCAATTTCATCTCTTGTTTATCAGAATGAATCAATTTGAAAAGTTGCCACAGAAATGGCAGTTATTTACTTTACATGGGAACCGCATAATTTAGACTAACATCTCATCTCTGAAATAAACATAATCTACAGGATAAAAATAAAGTTTTAAATTATGTTAATAAAATACAATAAAAAGGAGCCCAGAAAACTTTCTTCATTTTCAGTCTGAACCTGTGGTAATCTAGACTTGCCACACATTCTACACTTACATGGGCTGCATTGGGAATATTTGTTTCAGGGTCTGTATGACAGACGACAGATAAGTAGTCTCACAGTCCCTGAACCACATTATTTTCCCTACTGCATAGACCTCCCTGCAATGCTAAAGCCCTAAGTGAGCAAGTCTAGATCTGCTCTTAATTGCTGGCTCATTTTCCCTTGTAAAACCAATACTTTACCAAAGGGCAAATACATGACTGTAGTGGTCTAACTCAGAGATCCTCCAGCCTTCCTACAGAGCAGGATCTCAGGGCCTGCAGCAGTCACCGGGGTACAAACATAAATCATCATACACCTGACATTTATCTCAATCAAAAACCCTTCAGTTAATATGATAGTTTGTCATGTTTATTATTGTACATAAGCATGCCATAGAGATAAAGCTTCTTGCCAATAAGAACCAGCACATCAAAGACAGTTTGACAAATTGAATTAATAGAGTTGACCTCTCTGTGGGCATATTACTGATAGTGTTATCACTGCAGTGATGTATGCACAGAGGGATGTCTGTGTAAGACAGACAGGCATTCCATGTTCATATGTCCCGTGATCACTTTCACACAGTCAACATTTTATGCCATAAAACACCAACTACCTATATATGCTATAGCAATATGGATGTCCTAAATGTGTTCCATGAAATGTCTTTGTGAAACACTACTACCTATGTATATACACCTTTTTCAAGCGGTTTAAACAGAACACAGTTAGGTGTGTGGTCAAAACTGAAAATTGTCATTTCACGAGGATCGTGTCCAACAGCAATTTAATGGTTTATATGTTTTCTTTCAATGCACAGGCTCATGGAAGTGTGCCAGAGCATATTTCACACATTGACTGTAAAGGTGTTCAGTATACTGGTTTCAGGATGTATTATGTTAAACATCATCATACTGACACTGACGATGACCAAGTTTACTTGATACTTCTATTTTGTCAAGTGTTTTGCATTTGTCATTCAACTTAATCAAATTCAAATGTTGAAAAAACAAAACAAAATCAAGTTTGAACAAAATTATTGAGGATCAAGAAAGAAAGAAAAAAAATGTCAGCACTTTACAATCAACAATAAATATCTATCGTCTACCTTTTTTTGGCAATTAGTAACTGAAAATAATTTTTTTATATAAATAACAGATGAATAATCTCTTCATCACTTTATCCGTGTAAGCTGGCTGCCTAAAAAGACATTGCACAACATTGAACCATCCCCAAATTCACTGAGGCCATTACAGCAAACCAAACCCCAATCCTATTTTTCCAGAGAACAACAACAAACAGATCAAGCCATTGTGTTTAGTCTGGCGAGTGTCCTGAATACAATAACCTTGAAGACAACGTTCCACACGACATGGCTGGCTAGCATGAGTCTGTGAATATTCCCTCAAAGATTACAGTCTAGGACAGATCATCGTGACTTCATACGTAGTTGCTCAACAGAATTAATTCATCCTACAGGGCAAGTGGTATGCTGTAGATTTTCTTATATTTACACAACTCAGGCAAAATCATTCTGTCAGAGAAATGTAGTTAGTAGTAACTGAATAAATAAGCATTTTACTCGTGCTTTAGATAACATCCTTTCCAAGGCCTAAACATATTGAAACATTATCTTTTTTCAGGATTCAAATGATAATTTACTGATTCATAAAGTCTATGAAGTTGTAAAATGAAAATCATTATGAAAATCATTATGAAAAACACCAACCAGCAAAAACCCATTATGTTTAATACTGTGTTGGATTGCAGTCCTGAACCACATTTTCGTTATGTTTAACATGATCCGGTTCCATTCCTGAGAAATAACTAGGGGAACATATAAACATATATAATACCCTGTTAAAGCCAATATCTCACCAGAGTGCCTACAATGGTTGATAAGATGGCACAGTTTCTAAGTATTAATAAAACTATAGTATGACATTTTATGAATATTATTGTGAAATGATTTACAAGAATGTTATGTCCTGAACAATCTTAAAGTTACTCAACTGTATTTGTAAGGAGTGATACACCATGAAGTGATATTCTGAATGCTCCTGACTTGTCCAGTCACAATATAATACACTTGATATTATCACCAGAAATTCTTCTGGAGCATCGTGAACACAAAACTTAAAAAATAGCTAAAACAAACGAGAAAACTGCTTCTGTCCTCTGTAAACATGAATTTGGCTCCCAGTTCCATGAAACTCTAGCCTATTTGAAAACTGCACCAGACTCAGAGAATGTACAATGCCAACAATTTATGACCTGTGAGATGAGAATAAGACTTTTCTAGATAACAGATGAAAACAGCTGTGGAGGCTTCCCTGCTGGATTCTCCTTCAACATAAATCTGTTTCCTCCTGTAATATCAGGTAACCTAATGTGCACCACAATCTCTCATATAAAAGAGCAGCGTGCTGATGATCTTTACTCAGTGTTGCTTTTACACCATGTAAAGGAATTTATTTCTAATTATAAAATAATCCTGTATTGAAACTAGTGTGTTGTGCTTATGTTTGATAGTCGACATGTCAGAGGTGGGATGTTGCTAAGCTAGGCAAATGCACTGTTTAAGTAAAGTGTTGAAGCTGATAATAAAGATGGCTCCAGATTCTGGGCTGGATGGCTTCAGGTTGTGTCCTAAGTTTCATGAGCATCGCATCTGTGTGTAATTATTCCTGTACTCATGGAGAGTAATGGTTCATGAAATTTCTCCAACAGACAGTGAAAGTAATAACAGTATCCAAGGATGTCGGAGATGAAATTCTATCTTCCAGTGCTGACAATGTATGAGACATTTCAAAACAAACGGCAGCATATAGGGATGGATGTCTCAGAGATGCAGTCCTTTAAGGATAATACTATCAGCTTCTAAGGCAACACTCTGCTAGGTCACATTTAAAAGAGAATGGGGAAACACAAGTATCAGTCTACCTATCTAATTTAATTTTCCATGTCAATAAATTAACATTAGTAGGAATATAGTATTACTTACTGTCATTTTCATGTTTGTTGAGACTGGACTTCCGCAGAGAACTTTTGTCTTTCCGAACTTTTCGTCTAACAGGTTCTGTACTAGATGGAGCAGATGGGGCTGTTTCAAACATACTTTCACTTTCTGTCGATCCGGGTAAACTATCTGAATCCCTAATAGCTTGTGCATTTCTTGTAATAAAGCGTTTCCGTTTTTCTGACCTGTCCCTGTTAGTATATTCGTCTCCATGGCTTGTATCAAACTCTGACCTCCGAAGTCCTAGGGCTGACTTTCTCATTTGTGTATCCGAAGATTCTGAACCACCTGAAGATTCAAACTCATCCAATAAATCTGTCACCTGTAATTCCAAATTATTGTTTTCACCTTGAAAGTTATCAGAGGAATCATGCGTCTGCTTTCTCACAGCAGCCGTCCCTGAAGAGAATTTGTCATCTGCAGTAACCGCCTCTTCAGTTGCATCCACCTCCTTTGACAGCCTGCAAAACAGAACAAGACTTTTACATGATGTCCGGAACATTCCTTCAGTGCTAACAGAAAATATCCTGTTCTCTAGTTTCAAACAAAAACATAATTACAGTGTGTCTGCTCGAGGTCATATCAGGTGGCCATGTGTAGTCTGCCACTTCCTCCTGGAGTCCTCAGCTCAGCTACAGTTTCTTAATCATCAGCTCTACTTCTCACACTTTCTCTCCCCTAACAATCAACCACCATTGCAAGTGCAGCTCAATCTAACATTTTCTGACAGATGGAAAAAGCATTGAAAGGAAAACTTGAGATATTTGCTCATTCCACTAGTTAGTGGGAACAAGTCCAAAACCATCAGCCCCTCATCTTCGCAGGGGAACATTATTTCTGTCTGTACCTAAACAATCCAAGTGGAGGGTACCCTCTTCATAACAGTCGCAACCTATCTCACTCAACACAGCCTCAGACAACCACCAACATTCAGGTGTTTATTATCCAATATCATAGGGTGACAGCTCTCTAACATAACAGTCTCAATTTGGGCTGTTATTATCAGCATCCCCATCTTAGTTTCTTGCTCTGCTAATTCAGCCATGGGAATCTGACAGTATGATTCATGTAATCAGTGGATTGGAAGAACCCTATTGCCACATGATAAGTATTGACATGACATATTTATTTAAAGTTAAGCTTTGGAAATACAGATCATTATGCATTAACCACTGGAATACTGGATTAAGTTTGTATGTATTATATGCTATTCTTTTGAAAACCAAAACCTCAAAAATCAAAACCCTCTTTACATAAACACGTTCTATATATGGTTTTCCTGTTATTTTAACAAGCTTAGTAGTTAAGATTTCATAAAGTGAAGAAATAAGAGAGCAAGTAGTATGCATTATATGGGGGCAGAAAATGCATCATCTTATTTCACAATGTTTATCACATTAGTCTACATCTAATAACTGCATCAATCACTGTGAAGCCAAATTTCTGGTCTACACATGCCACCAAAACAACAACTCTGTGCCACCATAGATGGAAATACTGAAACAGAGAACAAGAATGTAAACATGCTTGCTCTTTTGCAGAACGTATAACACCAGAGGAAAGGAGAAAATGGACGTCTGAGTGAAGCTCCTGAAAGTGACAGTGGTGTAAGTTATAGTTTGAGAGGCGGCAGAGAAGTGATCCTGTGCACAAGACAGCTGCTTATACAGGTGTTTTTGTGCTGTACATGCACACCAGGTAGCTGCACCTAGACCGCCTCTGCCTCCAGGTCACTGACACATTCAGTTGGCAGGTAGTACGTAGTTTGTGTCACCTTACAGGATTGACATTGAAACTTGACACTGTTTCAAATTAAGCATAAAGGCTCTTTACACATTTCAGGTGGAATTTGAGAGAGTGAGTAGTCCCTTGATTCAAATACAATAGGAGCAAATCTTCAAGACCCCAGGACAACTTTTTGTTTCAAACACAGCGAGATAATAAAAACTGCTTGACATTCATCATGATTACTTTGAGTGTGAAATCATTTCTATTTAGAAGGGTGTTAGTGCATTACCATCAACAATGGATGCAAACCAATTTCAAACCTTTTAGTGAATGCCCAACAATATTCCCCCACAAAAATATTATTCTGAAATATTTAAGCTTTACCAAATACACCCATAATCATTCATTGTTGATGCATATAATGTTGTCTAATGCAACACAACATACAGCTCTAGCTACCATAATGTCACAGTTACAAAGACTTCTGGACTATATATATACTCTAACTACAACATCAAAGAACAAACTTCAATCACTGCAGTACTGCTTTCTAAACTTCCAGCTACCTTAATAACAGTGTGAGTGAGTGAGTATGGTTTTTTTTCACTGCATTTAGCAATATATCCAGCAATATCACAGCGGGGGGACACCAGAAATGAGTGAGTGAGTGAGTGAGTTAATATTTAACGTCACATCGGCAATATCTCAGCCATATCGTGACGAGAACATTTGACATTGTAATAGAATATATATAGTTATTATAAAAACCTGCCGACGAAGGACAGTAAAAATACTAGACAATCACAGCTATCAATATAAAACTAGCGAACAAAGCTAAAATATTCCAATTAAAGAAGACAATACAATGTAAAAATGGGCTATAGATCGCCAACAACTGAAGGGAGATCACCATACTAGGAACCATGGGGACTTACATTACTTTTGCTACCTGCATGGACCCTAGCACACCAGAAATGGGTTTCATACATTGGATCCATGTGGGGAATAGAACCAGGGCATTCAGCGTGACGAGCAAACACTTTAACCATTAGGCTACCCACACCGCCCCCTTAATAACAGAGTAATAATATGCATAACTAGTCTACAGGTCTTTACTTCCCCCTAATTAGACCAACAAACTCACCACATTAAAAACCTTATGGATGTTTGTACAGACCATTATAAATGTAGCTGAACCCAGAAAGCCAATCAAATTTTTATATTGTTTGATAAATACTGGTGTTTGTTTCACTTAACATATGCCAATATATGGAAGCACAAAAAATCTTGTCCAAAGAAAAGCAAATCGAGACCACAAACCATCAGGGTACAATAACACAAAATTGACAAAGTCACTGATAGTATGCCCTTTCAAAGGTAACAGGAACTGATATCATCTTGTGCAGCCACTTTCTTTAAAAAATTCTCCCATAATTGGATAAGCGTTATTCAAACTTCAAAAAATTGATTTTTTTTTTTTCCATGGTGAAATAATCTCAGATCAAATCATTTAAGTTAACCAAACTATTTCAAGCAGTATATAATACTATGCTTCACAGAAGCAGCAATAACTTATTGACATTCAGCTAAGAAATAGTGAAACAGTAACAGAGACATACACAATCTCTACATCACACAAGAATCAATCCTAAGATATTGTGTCATCACATACAAAACTCATCTTTTCAAACTCTTTTCCATAGACATTGTCTACAATCTTTTCTCTTTATAGCGCCATTGAGCAATGTCGTTTGGAAATAGGCGCTCTATAAATAAATTATTATTATTATTATTATTACTGACCAGCTGCTATGCCCACAATCAGCACCCAGTGCACTGTCCATCTCAGAGATTGCATGGGTTTTAATCAATCTCCTTCCAAGTCAATTAAAATCAGTCAGGATTTCTGTTAAAAGAGCTACCTCTCCTTATCTGAAGTGCTGACATGTGATGTAAACAACAGTAACCTCGGAAATGAAATAGACAACCCTGCATAGGAAGCCAACCTGTATCTGAACAGACAAATCTGGAACATTTTGCATACAGGTGTGACTGGAATTAATTGTTTACATGATTAAGTGGGTTATCTCTTTTCCATTTAAACATCCTCTGAACTTAATACAGATGTGTGGCACAAAGGGGTTCACGAGAGTGTTTGAAGTTTTACACATGCACTTAAAAGTCATGCGTTCAAAGGTTAACATAAGAAAACATGGGGAAAAGTTCCCAAGAGTATTAGAATAGCTTGTAAAATGCCACTTACATAGGAACACAACATATGACATTTTGTCAAATATATTCCAGTTTAGTCTTTCACACCTTATAATGATTCATTAAGAAATGAGTTTCATATTCAACATTTGATTGTCTCAGAGCAAATCAAGAAAAAAAAATGTCCATTGTATTTTTAAAATGACATCCAAAGTTATTTAAGAAACAATGTAAACTGACCAAATCAAATGTCACAAAACATGCAAGAGTGATTTACTTATTAATCACAAACACATAATTCCCAGTTTACAGAATCAGCCTTATAATGCTACACTACTTTATCAAGGTTGGCCACAGTGAGAAGATCCCCAGACTATGTGCCAACTATTACATAAAGGTCAACACACACACTGTTGATGTAGAGAGCAGGGAGCCTTGTCCTCACAACCCCAGGTACACGTCATATAACAATAGCCCTTACAACTCACACCTGCCCTCCCCACCATCCAGTGGCACACAATGTCACGACAAGCTGCTTCGGTAATTACATGCCTGATAATACCTACAGCTCAAGAAAAGTTTCCAAAATGCAACATTACCAGTTTCCCATGGTGATGGAATCTTCTGGCTAGATACCGACCCAGGAATTGCCTTATTCCGTATTGCCAGAGGTACAGCACTATGCAAGATGCTAGCAGTTCTGTGATCAGGTTTCCTTTAGTGCACTGCTGTATTGTAAGGTAGCGTTCAGGGCTTGCCACTATAGTGGTCCTTCTCCAGGCCAGCCTTTGACCTGTGTTTACATCTACTATTTGTCTGTCTTGCTTAACAGAGCGAAATAAATACCTGTACAGTAAACGTCCGAAAGCAAAAGGAACATGTGAGGCACTTAACCTGCTCTGTGAGTTCAAAAGAAGGTTAAACTGGATTGTCTTTGCCTCGCTAATATTATCTTTGTTTCCAAATATACATACAGTTTATTTGATGCATAACACATTAGATTATGATGTCAGATGTGCAGACAACAGGCCACAATGGCTGTTTTGAGACAACGTGTTAGGTTTTCCACTTGTATCAAATTATTGAGACAACATTCCACTCTGGCTACGCTCCAGTCACCTCAACTGTGGCAGACTATTACCTGCCCATTTCACCTGTGTCACCAGTCTATAATCACTTAATAGGTAGACATTGTTAACATATGACTAAACAGTATATTGCAAATTTTGGGAGGCTCTTTTCCTGTGGAATTCTGTTGTGCCTATTGTCATTTAAAGAGAATTTATATTTACTCTCTTGAGCAGGTTACATGCTTGAATGAAAATATTGAAAAATGATATTTCCATTAAAGTGGACATTTATGACTTTGGTGAAAATGATTAGCATGGGTATGGCGTTGACCTAGAAACATAAATTAGGCAATCTAGGGTTTGAAGCCTTGATCATATGTTTCAGCTTCTCATCTGCACAGTATACAACAGTGTTCCAAACAACTGAATCAACAGTGCCCCGTACATAACTTTCACCTTACAAGCACTTGATCTGAATACTTATGTGATATAACATCTTTAAAACTTGCAGATTATAGCCTGTCAGGCCTGGGTGATCAGCTCTGAATCTGGTTCTATATACTGTTCAGACAAATGAGAAGTGCTGTGGCTCATCAATGTGCTGAAACAGATCAGTTGTTGACATCCTACACAAACTGATTGCTAATTTGCACAACTTGAAAGGAACTGTATCAAACCCCTAGTCTGGCTCAGAGAAACCAAAACATATTGTTAGGCTGCAAGAGACTTGTCTTTGTGAAGTACTGGAGACAAATATAATCACTGTGGACAAAATTACCTAGGGTAAACTTAGTCCATCTATTATCAATAACAAATAATAGTAATAATTACATCAATTATTTCAGGGAAAGTAGCAACAAAATTTCTAGTTCCTCTAAATAAATGCTATTTGCACAGATTCAGCAGCCCCAGTGTTGCAAATGGGGAAAAGTCAATCCCAGATCTGCAAGCACTGACATCTTAACTGCAGTTGATTTCAATAACTTGGACTGCATTACCTGTGATATGTGTAACAATGACATATCACTCATGTTTTCTAAAGATCCAGTTTGCTCACATGATTGTGCTATGTTTTTGATAACTTTTTCCCCTGAAAATACTATGGGGATTTAGTCCTGAGGGCTTTTGTCCTGGGTGATCCTACAGAAGAACACACCCTCTCCAGGACAACCAGCACTTCTGGAGGTTTACTGTAAGCAGCAGCCTGTAATTACTGTAAGTATGAGCATACTTCCACTTTTTAACCAGATCCATAGCTGAGAGATTTGTCATAGCTGGCTTGGTGGAATACCAGCTGTACCAACTGTTTGTGCAACAGCCAAAAGCATGTCTTTAGTCAGAACTTACAAGGAAAGTTACATACGCAGATCAAGGTGGGTTGAACTGAGTACAACACGTTCCATGAAACATGAAAAGTAAAGAGAGCAAAGAACAAGAAATCAAACAACAGTTTACAGTTAAAAACAAATGCTCCAAATTGTCTTAGATGATAGACTTATATATTGTTGGCTCAATGACCACGCAGTATCCAAATACATACTGTTCCAGTGTTCAGAACAAAATATTCTTCTGCTTTTTCACTGCTTGGTAGTTAGTTGTGTAATTAAGCATCTTACTTTCCCATGCTTCTAACAATCTTATATTGTACCCACCACATCTATACAGAGTCTATAACTAAATCTGATTATGATATTTTAACAAACTGATTCCTATTTCTATAAGCTATCAATGCACATCCATAAATTTGCAGAAGGAAATGTTTTTGTTTGTTTGACAGACTATTGATACATACCAGTATACCTACCGGTACATCATTTGATGTCCTGAGGAAAATCAATTTTCCATATCTATGGCTATCTTTCATATCAAATGTAACATATGTTATATTTGGGATTGTACTTTCTTAGTGAACAGATTCTAGTACTTCTGTTGGGTTGAGTCCCATCTGGGATTCGAACCCACACCCTCAGAGTCAGGCACCTAATCGCTAACACACAAAGTCTTCCACTGAGGGGTTAGGCGTCTGACTTTGTGTGTTGGCAATTAGGTGCCTGACTCTGAAGGTGTGGGTTTGATTCCCAGATGGGACTCAACCCAACAAAAGTACTCGAATCTGTACTTTACTAATTACATACGTTACATTTGACCACTTTCTAAATGGCATTTCATATTAAATTTGTAATGTTTTATATAAGCATGCATATCCATTTGATAGAACCATTCAGATATTAGGCAGCATTTATTGTGCAAGTTTGGTCAGAGGAAGACCTAGTGCTGTGCAGTGTGCAAGTGCTTTTTTTACACCATGTCATGCACTTGGTTACCAATCCTTGCAACAACTGGATTAAAGAAAGCTTCCTAATTTCACAAAACATATCAGGCATGGATAACCTAACCCGATCTTGGACACAAGTCATCTTAAAGTTATTAAACACACTCATTTAGAAGCAGCATGTCTCAAGTTACTCAGTATAAACCGAGTAATGTATTCACAGGTAAACTCACCTTGTAGATGTCTCCTCCTTCCCATCCTCATCCACTGATGTCTTGCTCATGGATTTCTGGAGATGACGTCTTCTCAAGGATTTCCTAGGTTTATCATTCTTGAAAGACTTTGAAGCATTGGATGAGGAGGAAGCAACCTCTGACTCCATGTCTGCGTCTGATAAGAACGCAGCATTCTTCTTTAACAGATCATCCAGCGGATCTGGGGAGAGGGGAATACGTTCCCCTCGGACAGTCTTTGTTGGAGTTTTCAGTGGAGAAAGAGTATTTGATGAAGTATTTGTTTCAGTTTCTGCTTTCTCAGATGATTTTTTGGTCTGATCACCTGATTTGTCCTTAGCTCCGAAAGTTTTCTTTTCAAGAAGTTCTCCCCTTCTTGCTATCTGTTTCAGTTTGAGTTGATCGATTGCACTTGATGCACTTGATGCACTTGATGCACGCAAGGTTTCTGACCCCGAACTTTCCAAGTTGGGGTTGCTTTGTGAAGTCCGAGTAACATCACTTAGTGATCTTCGTACAGATTTTGATGTTGATGTAAGTGTTTTTTCAGATTTTGATCGGTCTTTCACATCTAACCTTGAGGCTTCATCTTCTGAAGATCGATTGTCACCTGAAGAGTGTCGACTTTTAGTTGTTCTGTCAACATCAAGGCGATCACGGCTACGTGATATGTTCCTGGCTTCATCTCTGGACCTGCTTGATGATCCACTTATAGGCTGCTTGGTTGTTTCTTGTCTTAATGAAGATGTTCGTCTCACGCTAGCCCCTACATCTAATTTGGCATTCGGAGATGTGTCTTTGCGAAATCTAGCCTCATTTTCAGATATGCCACTGTCACTGGATACAACTTCAGCTTTTGTTTTTGAGGCAACACCACCAACTGATATGTCTGCTCCTGATATGTTCCTGAAACTTGGTATTTCAGGTAGACGTCTCCTATGCGTCTGCCCATCAGCAAGCCCAGATGAACCACCTTTGCCATCTTCAGATCTCTCCTCTGAACTCTGCCTCTGTGAACTTGCTGCTAGAAACAAAGATGGTCTAGCAACCACCCCTGAGCCTTCTGAGTCACTATCCAACTGTTTCGTAAGATTAGAAATGGCAGCAAGTTCCTTGCGACGCTCTTCCTTATATTTTGCAATTCGCTCAGCGCGTGATGCCCTTTCCTCAGATTTCTCTCGAATCTTTTCATTTGCATCTTCTTTCTCTTCAGATTGATTTTCTCGCTGGAAACGACGAAAACTACTCCTACTTGGTGTGCTACTCTCCTCTTTGGTGGAACCATCAGTATCCTTCTCCTCAGATATATTATTGCGTCTCTGATAGCTTGACTGCCTCACAAAAGCATCACTATCATCAGTGCTGTCTTTCAATGAGCCTGTCCTGTCTCTCCTTGATAGCCTCTCTGTGGCATCAGGCTTATCTAAACTTTGGTCTGAACTCACAGAAATATGCTCAAGTGCTCTCTTTCGTCGCCATTCTGTCAAAGCGTCTTCCTTAGTGTCCGTTTTTTCCTCTGATCTTCCTGTGTTTGAGGAATCATCTTTGGTACCATAGTCAGTTACAGCAGCCAAATCTTTCTTAGCTTCTGCCCGCAATCGACGTCTCTCTGCTCGTTTTAGAATAGCTTCAGTTGTATCTGATCCGGTGTCGTACTTGGACTCATATCTTGGTTTGGTTTCTGATATATCAGGTTCTGTGTCACGGTTTCGTCGTGAGTATCGACTAATTGACCTGTCCTCCTTGTCCTTGTCGCTATCTGTTTCTGTTTTGGTATCCCGATACGATCGGGTATATCTGCTGTATGTTCGCGTTTCATCTTTCTTGTCATCTTTGTCACCTTCTGTTTTGGTATCCCGATACGATCGGGAATATCTGCTGTAAGATCGAGCTTCATCTTTGTTATCATCACTATCAGACTTTTTGTCCCAGTTCCGTTGTGACCTTCGACCTTCTATATTTCGAGTCAGAGAATCTTCCTTAGATTCAAATGAAGGTTCAGATGACAAACTAGATCGTGGGCTCCTCCCATTTGCTAACTCTGAGGAACGTGTTGGGATGCTGCTTCGTGGGGATGTGTAGCCACTGCGAGAGTATCTGGACTCCAGTGTTGGTGATGAAGCACCATCACTTGGCTTTGAAGAGCTGAAATGAGCAGGGAGTTCATGAATGTTGGATATATCATATAATACGTTGTTGATGATGCAAACAATAATCAAAATTACACAACGGAAGTAAGGATTACATATCTACTTATGTGTTGTATCTTCTGTAAAACTCAAATTTATGTCATAAAGAGTAAAAATAAAGACATGCTGGCTCTGTTTTCTCCTGAAATGTGGAAATGGCTTGGTAGCTGATAGAGAAGTTGCAGAGAGGTAAGCTCGAGGTGATCTTTTAACATAACCTCTGCAGGCAGAACAAGATTATGAGATGATGTGTTCACTGGGAATGCATCATCAGATGTGCAGGGAAATCGACAAGAGTATCCACACTGGACACAATGGCAGTTTTCCCCACGACTCAAAGACCAGCTGATTGAAGGGTTGAAGACCCTGAAGCAGCTTCTGTGAGCAGACTGGTGAAATTGAGTTGACTGCAGTAATCTGTTCCACAGTACTGAATGATGTATGCATGTAATGTGCCTTCATGTATACTTTGCTGAATCATCAATGTGACTGTTAAAGGCTTGAAACAAAGTTAAAGTCTCATGTATTCATCAAAGTCCGATATTGTCATGAGGTGTCTGACAAATGTGGTCAGATCGAAATCAATCCATTTCACCACTTGGATAAGAGGCACTGGACAGTGGGAGAAATCAACCATGGCATCTGTGAGTGTAAGGTATCTGACACACGTGATTAGACCATCCACAATATACTGAATGTTTGGAAGATCTCCTGGAAACATGTACTATATGGTGCTATAAGCTCTTACCACAATCAAATATTCTCCTTTGAAGAGTTTGCCGACTTGATTTATTGATAGATAAGAACAGGTCTCATTCATAATCTTATGGCAGTCTGATAAATAGAAGTTGTTTTTAGATATTACTTTAAAATCTCACAACTTGGAGCACTAATGAGAGGTCATGAGAAAACCCGTTTTGAGAAAGTAGCTCAGTTTCTCCAGTTCTCAAAAATTATTATTAAATTTTGATAGCAATCCTCAGTATATGTTTTAACCAAGTCGCCACATGACATCAAATACGTTTTTCTTGCATCAACTCAAACCAATGCTGCAAGTAGACCAAATCATTTGAAATTATCTCTTGAAAGTTTTTCAATCAAATTCCTGTGTACAGTATACAGGTCATTACGTTCATCTTCAAACTGTACATCAGACAAGCATACTGTGTTGTTATTTTTTTTCTGACTGGAATCAATTTTTATTTATATTATCTTCATCATTTTCACTTATTCCTTTTGTGGGACAATAAATTTTAGAACGATGGACTGTAGTACGGTGCATTGCGATGGTGTTTAAATACTTCTCCATGATGTTGTCAACAAAAGGACAGTTTACCCTTGTAAGATGTTTATAAACTTGATGCACTGCACACAGCAAACATATTTAGCATAACTGAATCCTCAGACCACTGTATGGAGCTACTGAAATGTTCATGGAGACAAATGACAACTGTTGTTATACAAGTTACACTGCAATCAGAAAACTGACAAAATGGCCAAATTAATGTCAATCTGAAGGAATAAACACTTGTTACCGCAAGAATTTTTTCAAGGTAGATGTTTGGCTACCTCTGAATGTTATAAAGACAGACTGAAACTTAGGTCACACTGTCAACAGATTAGTTGCAATTTTGAGATATGGCCAGCAAATCAGAACCACTGAAAATAGGATAACACACAGGCTTTGTAATTATTACATGTTGTCTTCAAATTATTTTCGTTGTCTCTGATAACACACTGCGCTTTGTATTATTTTTCAAATTATTTTTCGTACTGCTACCTCTGATAACAACACACACGCTTTGTAATTATTACATGTTGTCTTCAAATTATTTTTCGGTAAGTACTGCTACCTCTCATGACTATAATTACAAAATTACCAGTAGGTGGCATACACACTTCAAATTAGGACACTGCTACTAACACACACGCGGCTTTGACATTACATGTTGTCTTCAAATTATTTTTCGGTAAGTACTGCTACCTCTCATGACTATACACGGACATACACTTCCCACCTCAGTTAGCCATAAGTACATTTGCACTAGCCAGGTATTTAGAGAGAGCAATGTTTTTCAAATCCTATCTCACATGTTATCCAAGTATAACATCCTTATCAAGAATGTTGATGTAAATATCCTATCCAGCTGTCAGTCACATTTATCACGCTTAACTAGTAGATAGTCAAATGCTTCTTGTATATGAAGGCCTGAGAGAGAGAGAGAGAGGTGCATGACAGTTGTTATGGTAAAGAATGTGTCTGCACTGAAGCAGCACTGAAAGTGGAGCAGCCGACATACTGCTACAGCAGCTACAAGGATGCAAGAGTAGCCTCCCATTAACTGTTGACAACTCATACTGATGTCTGGAATAACACAGTAAAAAGGAAACAACCAAACAGGGGACTAAATGACCCGTAACAATTTGCTGTTAGATTCTGATTTTCAGTTTCTTTATAGTTATGAAATAAAGAAATGTCTTTGTTACATTTAATGTAAGGTTTAATTTGTTTTCTTGACACAAAGTTTCAAATAGATATATATTACAGGCTGGTCAGGTGTACAAAAAACAAAAGCCTTTGTCTGAGGTCTAGTCTTACAAGTAATATTGCACAGCTCTTCTCTACATTTATCCTTGCAGTCTCAGCATATTTACCTGTTCGTCCTGGTTAGCCTTGAACTTGTGTCACTACTTCCATTCCGTGATGAGTAGGAGCTGCCATAAGATCTTGTTGATGTTGGAGAGTAGGACGATGTTGTGCCTGATGTGTATGACCTTGAACTTGATGTGGGACTGGCATATCTACTTGACGTGGTACTGGTGCTACTGCTGGTTCCATAGCTCCGCCCACTATCGTAACTTCTGCCTGAGTCGTATGACCGCCCAGTGTCTAACCTCCTACCCGAGTCATAGCTCTTGTAACTGCTTCCTGTGTCGTAGCTGCGTAGACTTGACTCAAAGCGACGTGATCCCCCCTTGTCGTAGCTACGCGAGCCGTAGCGCGACATACTGTTTACACTCACATAGCTCCGTGGTACGTCACCAGTGAAGTAAGTACTGGAACTCCGGTTGGGGGAACCTTAAAACAAAATCATTCCCATTTCAAAACACTGTTAACCTTTGCACATCTGACACAATCAAAAACACAATTACGATAATACAAGTCAGTCAGTACTACAACCTAGACAAGGACACAACATGATCACACCACACAAAACAAAGATTCCTGTTAACATACAATGCTGTTTAGAAAGTGGTCAGTTGCATCAAATACTCTTCTTGGGTTTCCACTTTCTTCACATATTTATATCCAAGCCACCTGTAATCAGTCATTACTGCTTCATTGTCTCCATGACGAGGAGACAGGGGCAGCTATATGCAGTGTTTTAGTATGGAGTACATCGATTACTTCCTGTCAGCAGACTGAGGTGTCTAGCATGGGTATTGATTTGTCTTCCATGAGTGGTCAGCTATTACCACCTGTGAATGACAACATATGAAGCAAACATAAAGATATGCTCTCTGGTAGCTGCAGTGAGCTGTGAACATGCTGGTCAACCACAACACTATAAACACAGAAGGAAAACCCCAATTGTTACATTCGTGCTGACTGTGTTCATATTCTAGTAAGAAAGAAGCCCAATCTTATACTAGTTCATAAGTAGCCAATTTTTGGGTGTCCATCCTGTTTCACAGTCCTGCCTCCACCAACCCCATCAGGTACCTGCCTGCCTGCCTTCACAATACCAGGTCAAATCATAGTGAGTGAATGAGTTTAGTTTTACGCCACACTCAGCAATATTCCAGCTATATGGCGGTGGTCTGTAAATAATCGAGTCTGGACCAGACAATCCAGTGATCAACAGCATGAGCATCAATCTGCGCAATTGGGATACGATGACATGTGTTAACCAAGTAAGCGAGCCTGACCACCCGATCCCGCTAGTCGCCTCTTACGGCAAGCATGGGTTACTGAAGATCAATATTCTAACCCGGACCTTCACGGGTCCATCACAATCATAGAATTCTTTACCTTCAATAAGTGTCAACACCTGAAATGCTCATGATACGCCCCCAAAGACCTGTCACATAATGTACATCCAGTCGAGCATGCATTAAGGTGTCTAGCTGTCAATTCAAGTGACCATTTATTGATTACTTACTTAATTTGGTTCTGAAGAAAATTATTTTAAGACAGGAGCATTAAACACTCTCACAAACATCTTTAACAAATTCTCTTGTTTCTCTAAGCTGTGTGAATTTTTCCATGTTGACTTAGATTTCTAACTGAACACAACCATCTACCTGCAACAAGTGTGAAAAGTTAGTACTAACACAACATGCAAACTTATACCCAATCATGTTACCTGAAAACCCTGAATCTCATAACTGTAATTTGGACAACTTGACTTCATGACAACCTTTCCTATACATTCTAGCACGACATTGTGTGATACTCGATTCTGATTGGCCGAGAGCTCATCAAAAACGTACTTAAATGGCAGTTTAAAACCGCTAATTAAAGTGACCGATTCACCGCGTATGAATACAATGAATGCGTTGACTCTTTTGTTTGTAAACAAACATGTCGGACATCGGCAATTTCTACCTCGGCAGCATCTTTGATTTTTTTAAAATAAAAAGCGAATAGTTTGAAGAATATTTCTTGACCCTAATCCCAGTGAAGAAACTACGAAGCTGGTAAATTTGCCAGCAGCGCAAAAGAGGCTGTATTCAAACCGGGTCTGGATCTAGCGGGTATGACGTCGGCCCATACGTCCTAACCTGACTGCTTCTGTCCCGGCCGTAATTCCGAGTCCTTCCACTTCCCCTGTCCATATATCCCACATAAACGTGGCATGTCAGGTCTTTTCCAAATTGGGAATAGTAGGGGTGGTTATCAACAATTATTTTCGCGAATAAAGTTAGCGGCGACTAAACTTAGCGAGTTCACGGCTTGAATTGGGGCGAGTCGATTGTCATACAGTAGGGGAGATCAATAATTCGCTTGAGAAAAATCAAATAATTTTACTTGCTCACAGTATAAACTGTATTTTTTTTTATTTATGTATGCTACTTGTTACAAATACAAGCATAATGGTTGGAAAAGGCCCCTTCACGCCTTGTGTTCTTGCTCGCCAAACAGTTCGGTTTGAAAACGCGTATCAGTCGTGCTAGAATGAAGATATAGCTACTCTGTAATTTAAAAACCGAACGCGACAGTGTGAGGTTTTAAATTAAACATTTAGCGGTCTTAAATCAACGATAAAGGACAGCGAAATTGAAAACAGAGTAGCTTTATCTTCTAATTTGTATGATGAACACATGTACATGTGCCCTTGTGAGAAGATGGAGAGATAACAGCGAGCTGTATGCGTGACAGGTCACATGGCACAGTTTACACGCCTCCACAATGTGATGTCACACATGCCATGTTAACTGCCATGCTATAAATCTCGTAATGGCCTCATTCATGACTCTGCCTCAAAACTATATACTTACACACGTGTACTAAATCCCATACTGGCTGGTTGCTCAGCACTCACAAATAGCTAACATCTAAGTGCTGTCAGAGTATATCACTGTAAGCATGGTAAGTCAAGTCAAACATTTTAAACAACTTAATACCAGTGACACATGGGGCATGCCTAACAGTACCTATCATATATACCTACACAGACCACTAAATCATTTCTCAAAATTGACATGTGATACAGCAAACAGTCATTAACATGACCTCCTCAACGAATAATGCAAATATTTACCTCCCCACACAAACTAGTAGGCCGACTCTGTTTAGACAATAATACAAAACTTGAATCTAAGGGCAAAACTAAAAACTACAGCCTTGAAGTTTTCACAATAAATCTACACATTATATCCAGAAAATTTGGCTGCATATATCCCAAACTCAACATCCGAAACGTGAGTGGCATAAGGTTGGCTAGTTACACCCTCAGGTATAAATGTCTGAAACTGCAAACATAGCCACTAGGGCACAGGACAACACCTGGCAACACATCATCGCGTCCTCCCACAGGTACAGCAGGTAATACCTGGCAACACTTGACCATGATCCTCGCATATATACAGCAGGTAATACCTGGTGACACATCAATGAGATCTCACACAGGTACAGCAGGTAATACCTGGCAACACTTAACCATGATCCTCGCATATATACAGCAGGTAATACCTGGTGACACATCAATGAGATCTCACACAGGTACAGCAATACCTGGTAATCACCTGGCAACACTTAACCATGATCCTCGCATATATACAGCAGGTAATACCTGGTGACACATCAATGAGATCTCACACAGGAACAGCAGGTAATACCTGGCAACACTTAACCATGATCCTCGCATATATACAGCAGGTAATACCTGGTGACACATCAATGAGATCTCACACAGGTACAGCAGGTAATACCTGGCAACACTTGACCATGATCCTCGCATATATACAGGTAATACCTGGTGACACTTCAATGGGTTCTCACACAGGTACTGCAGGTAATCAATGGGTTCTCACACAGGTACTGCAGGTAATACCTGCTGTCACATCAATGAGATCTCACACAGGTACTGCAGGTAATACCTGTTGACACATCAATGAGATCTCACACAGGTACTGCAGGTAATACCTGTTGACACATCAATGAGATCTCACACAGGTGCTGCAGGTAATACCTGGCGACACATCAATGAGATCTCACACAGGTACTGCAGGTAATACCTGGTGTCACATCAATGGGCTCTCACACAGGTAAGGGAGACTGGGTCAGACCAGTGCATCTGTTGGTGGCAGTACATGATGAAATGTGTGTAATGACCTTCAAGTTCCTTCAGGTCCACCCATGTACAGAGTGCAAAGGGAAGTGGTTTTGCTTGATGTAACCTTACCTCTGAAGAGAATAACCTCTTTATCTTGCCTTTATATCCATTTTAGCCAAGTCCATACTGTCTACAGTCAAACTCGTTAAACTATTTTCTTTTTGATACAGGATATGTTTTAAGGTTTTGGAAACCAGTAAGTATACAATTAATTTTGATAAAATTGTCTACAGAATACATGTACATCATGCATGTTCAACTGTCCATCTCCTTGGGCAGTACTGAACACACATCAGAATTGCCCCACCCCTCTCCAACAATCTACTGACATTTCATGTAGCATTTGTCAAGATTCCAAAAGTCACCTGATCAACCAAATGTTTTAAACTACGTGATTGGGTCAAGCACAAGGCACACGGAAATAACAACTGAACTCATTGTTGTGTCACATGACAATTATATTTCATAGTATGTATTAATAACTATGACCAACTTCTAAAAACGTAGATACATTAATGCAAAATTTACAATGCCCCAAAGACATTACAGTCAGACACAATGTAAAAATCTCTACAATCTGTGTTCAAGCAGAAGTAAGCTGTACACGCAACCTAGCTAATCGAATACAACAGATTCAAACTGGGCCACCCCCTGTGAGCTCTTTGCATAATCCCTTCCCCTCTTCAAAAGTATAAATGGCTATTTTCAGCACTCACAGGCCTGTGAAGAGAAAGTTGTTACATGTACAAAGAGCCATTAGTTTCATTAAGCTATTGAAAAGTAGGTTACACATAGTTACAAGGGCCATTGCTGTTTACACACTGTCAGTGTATTACATATGCTCAGAGGGCTTACAAATGTGTTAAAGAGACGTGAGTTTATTTCAAGTTCTTCACTATCACATAAAAAATGTTCAAGTCTTGCCCTTCAATATATATACAAACATTTCAAGATTAAATTTCATTTTAAATATTTTTCCAGTAACAAATCCAGTGAAACAAAATATTGATGCAACTCTCTACTTCGACAAGATGGTGGCTGACCATACATTAACTCCAAAACTGTCATAGTAATTAAATATAAGGTACCCTAACAAGACACAAGGTTTACACTAAAGTGGTGACACACTTTCAAGTTAAATTCCGTAAACATACCACTTGTACAGACTGTGTACACTAATAACAAATTGCGGACTACACCATCAAATGTGACGTATGATCACATGATAAAACACTGCCCACCTTCATTTTGCTGTAGACATCTTCCTCACTGCTTAGGAAAGAAATATCCACAAGTTTCTGCACACTAGATATCAACTGCATCGATCATTCGCCTAGTCTTCTTAATCTACTAATAGATCAAACTTCAATGTCTGGTGGTAATACCGAGCACATGTCGACCTTTCATCCAGCATATTCTCCAGCTTACATAATATCAGACAATAGGTAGGTAGTTGTGTCTGTGTAGCAGTCACCACTGAGATGCATGGTCAGGCAGATACCATTACCTCAGTGTAAACATCCTTACATTCTGTGTAGGTTGCATAAGGAACCTTATGCCTTAGCTCTTATGAAGACTGAAACTCAATCAATAAGAAGTCATAATTCTGAGCAAATAATCTGAAATATATCCTAATGAACTTTTTCAAAATGACTGTTTTATAACATTCTATATTTAGGTAGAAATTTGTAAGTTGATTTGACAAAATGTCAGTTCAGCCTCAGAATCCAAAATTATTTGATGTAAAATTTATAGACAATATTAAGTCCAGGAGATGCAAAGTGTCTGGCACAGGCTGTATTGATTTCGGAATGAATCCTACTTACAATATCAAGGAAAAGAAGGATTCAAATTGAATAAATTGTTACAATTTCACAAATAGGTTGCAAAAATCCCTGTTTTTTATGAAAACCACAACATATATTCCCTAAATGCAATAAAGTATGTCCTCTAACAACCTACCAACACTACTGTTGATTGATCAGTGGATTCACAAATCACACTGGCAGGTATGTCTTCAAACATTAATCCAGTACAAATCAGTAGGAAGAGAGCATTCACTGGATGTACAAGGGGCTATAACAAAGTTTGCCAAGCGCCTGCAGGCCTTGATACCCAACACTGCTGTCTATGGGTTTGATAAACACCACAATAAGCAGCTATATGTGAGACTGTTCTGAGATCTCTGATCCACCAAAGCAGACACACCTCAGCAATGGCACTCCCCATGTGGATAACTATATTTATCAAACCCCCCTGGGCTCTGTGATCTCATGCAATAATGGCTATTAAATCACTAGTCTGGACAGACAACCTTTAGCTTTCTTCCATTGATAAAAAGATCATAGATATCTGGGATATATCCACTATTCACAACTAAGAGCCCTTGGAAAGCAAATTGGCAGAAAAAATACTATTTCATTCAAAATTGTGATTTTTGAAAGTTCATATTTTCATATTTATTTATTTAGAAAGCCTTTCAAATTGTACATTAACAGCGGTGTAAAGCAAGAAAGCCTCTTTGCTTTTTTTCTATCCTGATATTTGGTTTGGTGATATGTATATATATCATCTGATATCATCTGAGATTCATCATGTTCATGATACTGGTTTGCACATATAAGGTCTTTTTGCACACAGATTTTTGGGAAAGAGTGACTTTGCTTTCAATTACTCAGATTTCAAACAGGAACAGTTACAACTCATTACTGCTTTCACTCAAGTTGTATCAGTAATACATTTGTAGCGTACAACATTTTCTATGTCTGATTACCGTACAAGCCATGTACTAAACGCATGTAAGTATATTCTGAACAAGCCTGAACTCCTTGACCTAAATGAACTGGATGTAGATGATGCATTGTTAACAGACCAGTATGTCCAACTGAAATGTTACCTCACCTCTTACGTAGTCAAGTCCATGTGACAGATAAGATTTAGAAAAGGACCCAGATGGTTCTAGGTAGGAGGTCAAGGTTGGGCTGAAGGTCAAGAGGTCACTCCGCCCACTGTAACTTCTTCTCCCTACAATGAAGAAGAACAAATGTAAGTCATACTACAGGAATATATATCATATAATCACTTACCAAGGTCAAGGTCAATCATTGACAAAGATAGGCATATGTACAAAATTAGTACCGCCTGTCAGGTTTGTCAAAGTGTTTGTGATACATCTGCAAAGACAGTTACAGTAAGGTTACATGGCAGAATACTGAAAGCCACAAAATTCTCAAAATCATCCATGTCATGAAAAAACAACAAACAGAGCAACCATATTCTGTCACAAATGTTCATGTGCGAAAGCAACAAGTCAAATAAATGTTCATGACATGTCAAGACTTGGGCTCCTATTAGAAGCATCCTTCTTGTGGCTACACATCAAGAGCATGTTACAACAGAAAGTGAACCATCCAGATTCCATGACATTGTAAACATAGCTAATCCAAGCAATATCAATTTCATGTGAATGTATAAATCTTTTAATGTTTTATGTTTATAGTTTGCAGATCCTTGCCCCATGGAAGTTGGCATGTTATTCTAGATAAGCTGGAAAGCACAATAAAGTACCGATCCATATTAGCACTTTAAATTTCAAAGCCTTGGTAAGTAGTCCCCCATTGAGCTCTTCTTATGACATTGAGCTGGTCAGTTAAAACACTAGCACTAAGGTGTAGGCAGTGGAAACATTTGCAGCTTGATTCAGACAGCTTTATGCTTGACCCTAGTCAGTTTCAACTAAAACATCACATTTAGCTCACTAGTGATATCAACTGTACTTACTATCACTGAAATATGGATCTACATTTGCAATGCAGAGATCAAAACTAAATGAATTCACTGGTCTAAAAAAAGGAGCACAATCTACACCATTTCAACACACAAAATATCCTTGTAAAGATAAATTTTAGCATTGACCCTACCTCCCTTACAACAAAGGACAAAATGATGTTTATAGTCCAGAGCAGACAATGATGGTCATGGCAGTGCAATGAGGAATGTTTGTGCACATACCACTTGTATTGTAAACAGCTACCAATCCAGCTCCTAGTCTTGCTACACAACCACATACGGGTACTCTGATCTTGGGCAGCTCAGCCTCACCAGCAATAACAATAGTCAACTGCAGAACTCTCACCACTGAGTGACCCTGTGATGGTCCTACTCAAAGCTGGCATCTTGATGACCTCAGTTTTTTACATCCTGATGATTTACAGTAACACAACACTGTTTAATTAAGTCACTTGTCCTGCTTCCTTTTGTTTAGTTTCAATGACTTCAGTGTGAAACATGCACAGATATTTTTGTAATAGTTCCTTATTGATTAAAAAACCCAGTTCAATATACATGTACTTCAAGAAATGTATTTAAAACTTATTATATTTCTCTGATAGTATCATCATCATGTATTAGTTATATATAGATCTCATTCTGACAGTAATGTATATGAGCAATAATATTAGTTTTTATAGTTACTGCTTTAGTCTGTAATATTAATAATCAGTAATATCATAGATTGTTTGACAATATGCTTCTAAGCACCATATTATTATCCATATGAAGCAGACTAATTCAGTTTTTCACAAATATTTCTCAGCAATTCTATATACCTTGTATACAACCTATTGGGGAATCAACATGTTAAATCAACTGCTTCAAACAGTAGGTAAACTACATGAAGTCAAACATGTTTTCTGTTGGGAGAAAAAGAAAAGTCAGAAAACATAGGAAAATGATCATAAAAATACTTTGCCCTTCAAGCAGGAGTGAAGAGTAAAGGTATGTGTGAAATGCTATTGAGGTGTTATTTCGAATGCATTCTCTAAGTTTTTATGTAAAATACCTCGTACGTCACATTAACAAGAATGAAATATAACTAAAAATATGTTTTCCATATTCAATCTGATTTTAATTCGAAGGGCAATTTTACAATTTGCATGAACCTTTTTGGATATTTATTGCCATTGCATAATGTGGATGTATACAGCCAGCAGTTGTAGGGCCCTTCAGAAGGGTGCATGGCGACGAGAGAAGCGTGGGAAGCACCTCACATGCGAGGGGAATGCATACACATGGTCTGCTTGCACTGAAGCAATAAGCACCTCTTGTCCAATGCCATGTGCAAGATGGGCTAAAAATGTCAGCCTGTTACAGCTCACACAGTAACAGGCATTTCCTCGTTAAAAATTACCATAAAACTCATTTATGAAGACACAAATCTTTGCATGTAAGAAATCTGATATCCTCTGTAATGAATTCAGCACAGTACCGGTAACTTGTCTTTATTATGAAAGTTAATGATTCAAGCTTCTATAAACAAACTGTGAGTAACATATTACAAATTTAATTTTGGAATTTCCAAGGATGAAAAATATAGTAATAATCATTGTAAATGAAAGCCTTCTAACATAAGAGTTAAAAAAACATGACATCAAAGAGTATGAGGTAAAAACAGATTAGTGTGTTTTCTATACTGGTATTTTTCACTAAAATGAATCTAAAATGATAGCCACACTCTCACCTTTCCATGACATTGTTAAGCTGGGAGATGGGGACCTGAGCACCAAGATGACAGCCTAACTAGAAACATGGTGCCAGAGGAAGAAGAAGGCCAAGATGGCCAGGATTGAGACAGGAGCTGGCCAGGACTGAGATGCTACATAGTTATCCCCTAACTGGTAATGGTAAAAAGCATTACAGACAAACGTATGACGGCTAAAGAACATGTGGCATCTGCAGACACAGGGGCACTCCAGGGAGATGTATTCTGCCCTTCTTCAATCCATAAAAAAATAGATAAACTTCACGTGAGAACTCAAATACATCTGATTATATTTTTTCACTTATTTATATTAGCAGATGGTACTTTTTTACAGCTGCTGTTTACTGACCATGTGGTAATACTTTGAGGCATGTGTAGCCTCTTGTGGTGATACATGAAAATCGTTTACAGATATTATGTGTCAAGAATAACGTGCAAAGTTTGTCAAGAGAAGACAGATGTGGTTTCTACACAGAAAATGAGGGTTTAGAGATGTGTGATATGAATAGAGTTATGAGAATAACAGAAATTCCTACTAAATAAAAAGCATTAACAAGATACAAATGTTACTTCATCTTCCCTTTATAACGCAGTCAGAATAAGTTAATTTTGATGTGAAACCTACCAAATCACTATGTATTGACATATTTATCTTGTCTACCACGTTTTGATTTTATGTAAATATAATGTAACATGTCTCCATTGACAACCAACATACATACTTTTATAGTGAAGTCAAGTCCTGTCAACATATCCTGTTAAGAACCTAATGAACTTACTTCATAATTTCTGTCATATATGCAATGTAACCATACATTATTTTCTTCAATAACATTATACTCAGTTTAAGGAACAATAAGAATGAGTATTATCATATAAATACACAGTCTGAACTTAACAGAAAACTCTCAGAATATAACAAGTAACAGACATTAATCCTACAACTAATGCCATTGGTAAATGTGATTACCTGAGGCAAGTTTTCATTTTTAAAGGTTCTTGTTGAAAAACAAAACAAAACTACTAGTGGATGGACTAAGTGTGAGACTTGTTCTTCATCCACATCACCTCATGTATTCCAAGTAGAAGGACAACTAGCAAACAGTACAGATATTGGGCCAAGTTGACCTCAACATGATTCTCATGCATGATATAACGTCATATATTACTATAATTATCAGTGCCATATCTACATGTCATCCATTTCTTTCAGTCTTATTTTCTATTCTCATGGTTTTAGTATAATTACAGAAATACAAACCTTCAATCGCCGATATGGACTTGGACTATACATTTATACAATATCACCAAAAAACAAGGAAAGAAGTATGGAACTAAAATTGTAAAGAGGTTTCTATTTTTTCTTAGTGGACAAAATCAAGAAGAGTTATTCTTTCCATAAGAAAAAATAGATGTACACAAAATACCAAGAGAAAAGGTATCAACCCAAATACAAAATCCTTTGTGCATATGTTTGTGATGTTAACATGATGTTTACATTCTGTAATGATGTTTAGACCAATAGTTTCAGTGTGATCAGACATGCTTTGGGTGATCCAGGTTTGATGCAACAGTGATCTGGTTATCTGGCTGTAGCACCTTCTGGATATCCAGAGAGGTAATGACATCTAGGGAGGTACCATGAGGAGGGACCCTGCTGGGGAGACTAGACACCAACAACTGGGTTATCCCCGGGACTCTCATAATGAGGCATGGCAACATCAACATAACTATTTCTAAATGATGGCATTTTTCCACAACCACCTTGCCACACGACATTATCAACAATTACTCATGTTGAGACGAGGGAAGGAAAACACCCAGCATCTGTATCGGTTATTTGTTCCTCAGTTGGGAAATCAACTATCTGTGCAAGTATTTTCGATTAAATAAATCTTGAAACAAATTAAACTGTCACAACATCCACTGATTGATATAATTTTCTTTCAAATTGCACTTGATATCTCCCCTGGTGTTTTGAGGACAAGTTGGTCTGTAAGACAAGACCTTAAAAAACCCCAAAAACCTCTCTTTTGTTATGTAGCGACCATTAATACTCTGAAAAATCAAAAAAGATTTTGATCACATCCAGCTGTTCAATTCATCTCATGGAACAGGCACTGTATCTGAAGACCCATAGGTAAGCACTGTTTTAGACATGAAGGCTCCAAGATTCCAAGAATTCCCCGAGGAACCCCTGGTCTGTTGATACATCACACACAGTAATAACACTACAAGACATGGGGAGGATATAAGAAGCCCCAGTGTCTTCTATTACCTGGAGGAGTGGGGGAGAGGAGGGGACCAGGTGAAGAACAGAATGTACTACCCCTAGGAGGTTCTCTCATCCACTTCATGCAAAAAATGTAACAAATAATTGAAACATGCCTCTAAGAAATTGGTAAAATGTCTTCACTATCTTATTTCTTGTAAACAATCATTTGGCTGACAACTAGTCTTTCTTCTGTCTTACGATGGCATGGTG